ATTACAATAAAAGTTTAATATTAGCCGGGATTTTTCGTTGATTTTTCACAATAAAATGCTTTAAAATTTTAATAAATTAAAACTGTTCCATTGTTTGCATTATCCCATTGTTGACATATTTTGGATGGATTTTAGTCAATTTTAATACGTATATATGCATCCTGTTCAGACTGCTGCATCATATATATATATATATACATATATATATATATATATATATATATATATATATATATATATATATATATTATTGTAATGCACACTCAGCTAACAGGTATCATGTTCAAGGAAACGCTCATCCACGTTCCTACTTATAATCATACTCCATCTGTGGTGCGCGCTACTTATAAGTAGTATATGACGTGCGTGAAAACGTAATTTCTGGCAGCAGAAGATGGGGGAAGATCAAGAAAGGAAGAAGAGTGGGAACACAATGGAATTTTTATGAAACGCATGAATAGTGAAATGTCAGACAATGGATTGATGATGGATTGAAGATTTGCAAATTAACCGTTTACGATATGGTTTTCGTATTTTACTGATTAACTCTGTAATTTTCGTTTACTAATATTTGGTTGTCCTCACCTGTGTTCTCCTTCACTACAGTAATAGTTCCTGATGAAATAGGTCAATCATAAAAATGATGTAGTAAGTTTTCACTTACTACAGCTTTTCTCAATGATTGTATATATTGTTGTTATTCATCTTCTCAATCCGATACATTTTAAAGAAAATTTTGTTAACCTGTCTCCATTATTTAGGAATGAATAGAAAATTACATGTCTAGTGATTTTATTATCAATACTACTGAGTTCATTTATACAGAGGTTACATTATTCAACCTGTTGGCGTCATATTGATTAACATATAAGCTAATAAGTCTTCATTTGCATATTTATCATCAAAAATAGTTGACGTTGTGTAAATATTGTCACAAATCAAATTTCATTCAGAACCTTACGTTTGTTAGAAATTTTGATGAAATACATTTTTCGTTTAATAAAGTTATTTAACTTTTATATGCGATTGTCTTATTTAAATATGGTATTGTAGTGAAGGAGAACACAAGTGAGAGCAACCGAATTGTATTTAACGAAAATTACAGAGTTACTCAATAAAATAGGAAAACCATATCGTAAATTGTTAATTTGCAAATCTGCAACCAATCATGAATCCATTGTCTGACATTTCACTATTCATGCATTTCATACAAATTCCATTGTGTTCCCACTCTTCCTTTCTTCTTGATCTTCCTCCATCTTCTGCTGCCAGACATTACGTTTACACTCGCGTCATATACTACTTATAAGTAGCGCGCACCACAGTATCACTAAAAGGATAGTTCTTTTATTAAGTCTTGTTTCATTCCACGTCAGCCAGTCGGTCAATCAGTTACAACGTAGAAATTCGTACGTACGTATTTTATGTTGCACTACCACATTAGCACAGAGACACAATTGTCAATTCAAATCGCTCAGTGGTAGACGTAACAGAAGTATTAGCACTAATGGAGAAGATTAGGGTTCGAAGAAATTATTCAAGAAGTATCATTCAATGAGATAACTTTGAAAATAGTTAGATGTTGTGGTGTGAGCTACTTATAAGTAGTATATGACGTGAGTGAAAACGTAATGTCTGGCAGCAGAAGATGGGGGAAGATCAAGAAAGGAAGAGTGGGAACACAATGGAATTTGTATGAAACGCATGAATAGTGACAATGGATTGATGTTTTGCAACAGGAACATTCCAGTTCGATATGATGAACTGATATTTTGCAAATTAACAATTTACGATATGGTTTTCCGATTTTACTGAGTAACTCTATAATTTTCGTTGAATCAATTCGGTTGCCCCACCCGTGTTCTCCTTCACTGCAGGTGTGATGAGGGATTCAGAAGATTAAACTTTCCAAGACTTGTGGAAAACTTTTTTTTTAATTAATAGTCATTATTTATACATAATCATATGTCAAAAGAAAAGAAAGATCATGCATCTCTATTCTACGACAAACCTAACTACAATTAACAACAGACAATGTTTACATCGTTTAATTTAGATAGAAATATTTAGAAAGTAAATCCATAGGCAATGCAATAAAAAAATTATTATAATAAATGATTATTTTGAGCAAACTGAATAAGAACATGAAGACATTTTTTTCATGATAACTGTAATAACATTGCAGTCAATAAAACTTATGAAACGTTAAAACTAAGTGTTGATTTCATCTAAAACGAAACTAAGAATGTAACAATTAAAACACAACAGGAATTTCTTTGAGATCATCAAAATAGTTGCATTTAATTTTTACTTAGATTTTAATAACATACAAACTATTCATCACAGTGTTTTAAACTTTCACGCAAAAACCTGGGAGGCCATATCGTAAATCTTATTGGTTCTTAAACAAAGTTTAGTTCTACCATGTTTAATGAACAAGTAAATTTTGTAAACAAAGAAGATGATTTACTTTAAAAATGATTTGAATCAAATAAACCTATGCATCTGATAAACTGAAGCTGATAGTATTTACTAGGGTCTTTATACTTTCAACTAATAATATAAATGAATAGAAGCCATTACGAAGTAGTTTAAGTGCGTACAAAAGATTATTGTGAGAGCTTGAGTACGATTCGCTTTCGAACAAATACAGGTAAAAAGGGCACCTTATTAATTATACTTATTTATTATTAATCCAATGAAGAAAATTTTCAGCTACATACAGGCAAACTTCACTAACAATTTTATTTATTATACAGCTTACATGCGTACAAATACAGTATTATTCACATGCATTTTGACAGCTCCCCTCTTATATCTTCTTATATTAGCACACCAATCAACATACAATCCCAATAAGTCAAATATACATAGAATTAAAACTTTTTATCAGTTAAATTGGACGCAAAGATATTATAAATGAAAATGCACACCCTAATGCTTTCACAAAACAAAAGAGATTACGTAGCACTATTGACAACGTACATTATTCTCCAGCTGCATTAAATAAACATACTTTTAATTGGAATTAGTTTAAAAGAGTTGAAATTCAAAGTGAGAGTTTGACCGAGCAAATAATAACTATGTGTTCTATCAATAAAGATTTTTAGTGAGCAGATTTTCCATTGAATATACCAACATTTCAATCTATTCGAATTAAAATGTTTCAGGGAAATCAGTTTTACTAAAAATAATCACTAGACAGTTTAATGAAGGTATTTATTTTATTTGATCAATTGAAAAAGTAATGTTGAAATTTCAAAACAAACTATAGTAAGCAGCAGACATGATAAAAGAACCGTGATCAACTTCATAGTCTTGTACTCTGTGACAGGTAATTAAATAATCTAAATGCTTGCATACATTTGTAAAATATCACAAATCATTCCAAGGAAACCAGAAAATTTATGCAACTTCATGATCAATTATTAAGTTGCTGCTTTTTTAAAATCTAACCTTAATTCTCATAATGCTATTGTTAATAATCCATTATCGAGGATAATGTTTTGACTGGTACTATCTATAAATAAGTTGACTATTGGTTTGAAAATACAACTGCCTTAAAGTCAACATAATGTGAGACGTTTGATGTTATTATAATAGATTTTTATTTTGAAGGGATTCGAAAAACATTAAGCCCATATTCTACATTTTAAAAATCTGAAACTACCTTAAAACTTTTCTATAATTCAACATTGAGTACTCTACATGACTGTTCCCCAATACTAGTGTCGTAAACCTATATCGCAGCTTTAATTCAGACTATCAGGAATTATCTACAAAAATTAGGTTAATTTACACTAAACATAAATGCTTTTGTTAGATATTTTTCGATTTGTATAAAACCAAATATCAGTCAGTCAGTCAGATGCAACGTAGAACTTCGTAAGTAAGTACATCAGTCCATGTCGCCATACCACATCAGCACAGAGATGTAACTGCCAATTCAAATCCAATAGTAGAAGAGGTAGTAAAGGTATTAGAAGTAATCGGAGAGGTTAGGATTAGAAGATATTATTCAAGAAGTATGATTTAATGAGACAAGTTTAGAAATTCAAAACTAGGGGGGTTGGAGAATCCAGAAGATTAGCATTTGAGAGAACACAAAGAATAAATGCACCGGCGCCATTGCGAACGATTTTGAGCCATGTCATTCAAGGTCTCTAACCATAGGTTATTATCATCTAGCGGTAGTCGACAACTACCGACATGGCTAAGTCCACTTGTCAGTGACTTCATGCATTTCTGCCATGTTTTGGTTTGACCGCCCCTAACTTTCTTCCAACCTACTCCTACACCACAAAACAAAGCTCTTCGAGGCAGTCGGTGGTTAGGCATACGTAAAACATGTCCCAACCACCTCAACTGATGAAGTTTCACCACTTCATCTATTGATCTTCCATTCTTACCTAGCACCCGATTCCTAATAACAGCGTTGCTCACTCGGGTGTCCCACGATATACGAGCAATGCTTCGGAGACACCTATGATTGAATACTAGTAACCTGAGAATATCTACTACTCTTACCGGCCATGTTTCGCATGCATATAAGAGAACGGAGCGAACCACTGCACAGCACACTCGTCCTTTGGTCAGCAAACGGATATCTCGCCTACGCCATAAGTGACGCAGGTTGGCAAAAGCCAATCGAGCCTTCTGTATCCGAGCTGAGATTTCGTCAGTCACCAGGCCATCGGCACTGATGATACTCCCAAGATAAGTGAAGCGGAAACCAAATATCAGCTGCTATGCAATATAACTTGATAACAGTGAAATTTTCATTTGCAAAGATTTTTATTTCAATGTTAACCTTGTGCATTTTCATTTTATGCCATTTGTTAGATTGTTAATATTTTAAGAAAAGAAAGAGTCACAACTATCTACCCAATTAATTCGTAAACGATATTATCAATGATTTCTGTTGATAAACATTGTAAACTACTTGTGTTACTTTGAAACATAAAAATATACACCAAAAAAAAAACTTTCAAATAACTTACTATCAGTTGAAGATAAATAGTTAGAAAATAATGCCAAACGTGAAGCTGCAATCAAACCTGGATGTAAAGTTTGTTTATTATAAGGTAAATTATTTAATTGAATCCAAGTAGTTGACTGATGCTTTGACGGTGATTTTTCTTCTCTCCAAAAACTGCATATCATACCGAATTCTTCAAAGTGTAATATATTTGACTGAATCAATGTAAATCGATGAATTTGATTGGTTCCACATACGAAATAGATATTCATTTGATGATTCGTACAGTTGGTACCAGATACAGGTATAGGTGTTTTGAAAGCGGATGTTATTTTAAATGTAGGATAAGAAGTCTCCCATTCCATAACCTTAAATGGTTGTCTTGAATCGCACAAGTTGTCTATGTATATAATATTCCTGTTGAAAAAAATGTACGTGTCTAAAATTACTTTTATTAATACATTTCTATAATATAATATATAATATATAATATGTCTCTTGACTCTTTAAAATTTAGCATTTAAACTTTTTTTGTTTCTGTAAGTTACAACCGCTGATTTCTGTCAATATCAAGACTTTGTTTTAAAGTATTTTAGCAACACAGTCTATCATATTCAAACTCAATTACTTCTCGACTTTAAAGCAACACAAAACATCTAAGAAGTTATGCTGTTCATAGGTTATAATTCTGTGTACGTTACTGCAAGTAACAATAGCTATAAAATGTTAAGCATATGACAGTGATATTATTTATGAATGCTAAGTATAAATTCACCTAAAATCATAAAACAATGGACTGATGATATTTAGTTTTCATGAGGAATGTTAAGGTACATACAAAATAACATTGATAAGATAATAATAAATTTATTTTATCTTATAATATCTTTATAAATGGATACAACATAATAAGAACTGAGGATCTAAAACTAAGGGATTACTTTTTACAAATGTAACAGTATTACTTTAGTGTGGACTGGTAAAACATCAAATATAGTATTATTATTCTGTAAGTAGACGTAAATTAACTGATCACTGTTCTATCGAAATTTATGAAAGGCACTAAGTGTTTTAAATAGTATTATTCGCAAGTTAGGATTATAAACAGCCTTAACTAAGTAAAAAATTTCAGCTAAATAAATTATCAGCGTTGGTATGATTATGTTAAACTCTCGTGCAAAAAGTATCATCATCAACAGCAACGTAGAACTTTGTATGTACGCAGGTACATTAGTTCAAGTCACCATACAACATTAGCTCAGAGACGTAATTATCTATTCAAATCCCATAGTAGTAGATGTAGTAAAGTAGTATCAGCAGTAATCAGAGAGATTAAGGTTCCAGGATATTAATCAAGAAGTAGAATCTAGTGAAATAAACTTTAAAAGATGAAGTGATGAGGAATTATGAAGTTTAGGATTTGAGAGAACACAAAGAATGAATGCACCTGCACCATGCAAACATTAGAGGACGGAGGAAAATATATGATTGAAGTAATCACTATCAACAATGACAAAATATTTAATAATAATAATAATAATAAATCATTTAACGGTTGTTGCCTTTATAAACTGATATCTACACAAGGATGACTAACAATCAATTAGATAGTATTCAGTCAGTCAGTTAGTCAGTTGCAAAGTAGAACTTCGTACGTATGTATATAAGTTCATGTTGCCATACCACATTAGCACAAAGACGCAGATGTCAAATCAAATACCATAGTGATAAAGATAGAAGAGATATTAATGGTAATGAGGAAGACTAGGGTTCGAAGATATTATTCAAGAAGTATAATTCAGTGAGATAAGGTTAGAAAGACAAAGGTAGGGGTGCTGACGAATCCAGAAGATTAGGATTTGAGAGAGCTCAAAGAATGGATGCACTTGCGCCATCGCAAACGATTTTGAGCCATGTCGTTCAAGGTCTCTAACCACTGGTGACTATCGTCTCAGGGACCGCAACCAGGTAGTCTACATCTACCAACATGACTCAGTCCACTTGTCAGTGACTTCATGGATTTCTGCCATGTTTTGGTTTGGCCGACCCTAACTTTCTTCCAACCTACTGCTACACTACAAAACATAGCTCCTCGAGGCAGTCGGTGGTCGGGCACACGTAAAACATGTCCCAACCACCTCAACTGATGAAGTCTCAATACTTCATCTATTGATCTGCCATTTTTACCTAGCACCCGTTTCCTAATAACAGCATTGCTTACTCGGTTGTCCCACGGTATACGAGCAATGCTTCCTAAACAATTATGGTCGAATACTAGTAACCTACTAACATCTACTCTTAACGGCCATGTTTCGCATCCATATAGGAGAACGGAGCGAACTGCTGCGCAGTACACTCGTCCTTTGAAATAGTATTAATCTGTGTTGAGAGTATTCAAAGTATTAAACAAACATTTTTCGTGAAACATTCTAAATAAACAAATCTATGATAACTATATTGGTATTTTAAATCAGGATAAAAAATAAGATATATACTGGTTTGAAACTGATACTTATTGCAAAAGAAGTTGTAAATTGAGATCATTTCAAGCACAGAAATTCTGTTGCACTTGAATACTAAGGTCAGATCCGTAAAAAAACAATCGTGATTTAAAATTAAACAAGGTGATCATCATCAACTTGTTATTTCATTACGTATTCCATTAAAATGTACCAAGTTTAAACGATAAATTTATATTAAACATACTTGAAAACAATAGAAAAATGACTTACAATATTACTTTTTAACTCATTACATAATGGTATGATATTGTCGATAAGTACAGATTCATTTTATTGCCTTAAAACTAATTTTTTTATTTCACAGTATTAGAGATGTTTAGATATAAATAAAAAGTGACGAACTGAAGATATTTTTCTGAAAATCTTAAGTAACTTATTGAAGAAAATCAGTGCGACAGTTCTTTCTTGTATCGGTAGAAAACTCTAAGCTAACGCTTCACATTCTCATTAATGAAGTTATTTTTTTATTATTTACCCTAACTGTTGAACACTTTTTGAAGTCACTTATTTCTGGAGTTCTCCTAAGTGTTTTGTAATCATCCGTGAAATTATCATGATAATAATCCGTAAAATTAATTTATTATAATTGTTAGTGATCAAACGGAACCGATATTTATTGAGTTAAAGATTAGGCTTTTAGTCGTAATTATGTTTACACTAGTATCCAAATGAATTTCCTCAAATTAATAGATATTTCATTATGATACGTTCAAACAACTCAAAACCCATGTCCATTTGAAATTTTTAACGGTTACAATAAGCCATCCACTACATCCAGTATTCTTCTAGTCAGTAAATGCAATTGTTAGAATATGTTTTCATGGAATGCTTTGCTGAAGAATATAACAGTATTTTAAAAATATTTTTCACTGGTTCATATATAAATCTGCTTTTTTGGCGATATTAATGCATGGTATCGTTATACCGGACTAATGATAAATTACTGAAAAATGGTACAAAAGCATAAGATCAGAGCGAAGACTCATCCGATTTTAGACCTTATTGGCTGATAAATATATCAGAAACATTGTTCAGAAAGACATTTCATGAAAACTAACTTCAGAGATTGCATTTATTAGCAGTTAGGTTGTCTCTGGACAGTTTGCTAGCAAAATTTCAAACCATCGTATAATGGTTTTAATGCGTTTCATTTCAGTTTGTGGATGGCAATTTTCACCAAAATAATCTTTTGATTACTCAGTACAAATCAAATGGAAATCTTTCCAAGTCCATTTGAAGGACTCCTAGTAACAAATCCTAGAATTTTAACCGTAAGTAGTGGAAAGTAAGTTACGCCTCAAGTTTCTCGGGATCCCCACTTAAGGTTAGTGTTAGCAGAGCTTAAAAAAGTATTTTAAAGGTCGTCCAGATATGTTTAGTATGCTATAAGTTATTAGAAGGTCACTTCTGAAACTACTCTTCTCTAACTGGTAAAGATCCAGTGACTTGAGGTGTTCTTCACAACGTTTAAATTTGAGTCCTCAAACTGATTTAGTGGCTCTCTTTTGAATACTTTTCAGTTTATCCTTGTCTTTTTAGAATGAGGGCCAAAACATTACATTCCCATATTCTAAATTGGACTGAATAAAGAAGTTGAAGTGTAAGTAGAACGTTCTGTCTCAAACTGGCCAGAAATGCTTTTCAACGTTATCAGCTGGCCCTGACGTTAAAAAGTCAGCCATTTAGATATGGAGTTAACCTTTCTGTTGAAGGTGGCTTGATGCCTTATTGCCTGAGCTTATTGATCAGATACGTTGACGCTCAAAAAAAACTTCTTGTGTGTAAAGATATATCTTATCAACCTTCCCCTCGTTATCGGGAATGGTTTGAAGATGTCAAATAGTCACATGAACCATTACATACTGCCAACTTTTGGGTGTTTTAAAAGTAGTGCTATTGGCTTATGGCTTGAAGATTTATTGGGCTGGCCTTCTTTGGTGTGCGCCAGCTTCACTTACCAAATGTGATAGTATCGTCTTAAGCGACGTTGCCAAAACTAGATCATATGTTTTTCGTACTCGGTGTCAGCAATTGGTCTTCTGTTGGTCTTAAGGTGTTAGACTATCTCAGTAAGCGCCATTCAGATTCATCAAGAATGGCAAACTCTTAAGAGTATACTAGATGTTCTAACAAGCAGAATCGTAAGTACGGGGTCGCTTCGCCTGATATTCCAGTTCATTAGTCATTTTGGTACAAAGACATGTCGAGCATTTCCAGTACCTAGTTTTTGGTTTGAAAAATGCCAATCTTTTAGATACACCTGTCAGACGAGTATTTTTATCTTGCTGTAGTCCATGGGATCTATTCATTTTGCTCGGTAAACTCTGAGCGTTTATATGTAAGTGTTGGATACTTTTAACTTGAACGCATGAGCCTATTTGTCCTGTTTATCTGAATAGGCGTTGTATGAATGTACAGACAGCCTACCGAAACAGGGGATTTCCAGATCTGTGATCCCTGTCTCTTACATGTTTTTGATCGTACTGGATAGTCTTTAAGTAGAATGGTTAGGTAAAATTTAATTCTTAATTGTTGCGTCATGTGGCCTGTTCGCATGATTTTTGGTTACAATCGGTGACCAAATTAAAATGAAAGCTCGAAACTGTTAGAAAAAATCATTAAAACTATTCAAAAGGTATGAAAGCGAATAGCATGAACACTTAGAATATAATAAGATTAAACTTTTAACATTAAAAACCGTGAAACCTAATAGTCAGCCAGGTTAAAGCTACAGTTCATCATTAGGCCTAAAAAACTCAAAAATAGCATTTACCGACTGATAGAGGCAGGATGGTTTTTTGTGTTAAGAATGGTACACTTGGTGAATAAGAACGCATCCAAAGTTCGAGGAATGCAGTATTTCTGTTTCGTTAAAAGCGCTACGGGTATAATAAGCAGTGAAACAAAATAAAGGATAACCTTCCATTCTATTGTTATCTAGAAAGCTTCAATGCAAAATGGTAAAAGGTCATTTAAACACGCAAACTAGAGACCATTGTATACATGAGTATTTATAAAAAATATAATGAATAAAAACACTACTGACATAATTGCAAAGAAGATATTTGAATCTTCAACAAACATCACTTTCCCAAAGTCAATGTAATCACTACTTCTAAGATCTAGAAAAAGCAAATTATTTATTAAAATCAATACCTCCTCTATATCTGCACGGCGTAAATTTGTTCGTCACATAGATGATATTCGACAATATCATGTATAGCCGTAACATAGAAAGTCTTGGTGCAACAATATCCTGCAACAGGTATATGTTCAGATTTCACATAATTTTTAAAACATTTTTTATCGCGTTATACAACACCAGGTGGATATGATACTGTAATCAGGAACATATTCAAAAACAACATCGGAAGCTTCTGCAAAATATTTTATTTATTTATTGAAAGTTGCCGCTGGCTAAATAAACCCTATTCACATAGAGTTTAGAATCAAAATACTAAGATGACCATATATACAGTATTTTGGTAAATACTCATCAGTTCTCAGTAATACATAACATAAGCTAGTCCAGTTGCAACTTTCAGAATGGAAGATCTTTACAAGTTTATAAATAAAACTAGTTCCGATTAGAAGTGGAAGTAAGCTGAATTTACACAACGATAACTGCAACAATGTTTGAAAATGCGCGTTAGATACTACAAAAATTAACAACGTTTTAAGGTCAGCATTTTGTTTTCGAATTTCGAATTTTTGAGCATCAATAATATTAAAGTGGCCTGGTATTTTGTGTGATAAAAGCTATACGATAATTTAGATGTTGAGTGCTGATTCAATGTAATGCGGCACAAGAGTTGTTCGTTCCTCAGCCCAATGTAACTCAGGATCTTGTTGATTGTCAGCAATGGGTGCAAGGACTCTGCGGTTGCCTATCATTACTGACATTAAACACAAGGGAATGCATTTCATCATCATGGATTCTCCTTCAAAAACTAATGTGCCTTATTTTGTCGAGGTATTCGTATACTAGATTAGTCTTTAATTTTCTCTGAATAGGAATGTTGTAAGCTTAACGTATCCGATGTTGTTCGTGTATGCGAAGATCGATACCCTGTAGAGCCTTTTGTAAATGCTGGAATATGTGTACATGTAGGTTGACGATTTTCTTTGTTTCGAATTTCTTCCTGATGCCTTTGGAAAATACCAGTCACATTCACTTTTCAGACTTCTCAAATAGGACTTCAAGCTAGTACATCAAGTTCCAATTGCATCAGCTTATTTTTACGTCCAAGAAACTGACTGGTTATAAAAGACGTGTGGTTTTCTAAGTCTAAGCAATGCCTCTTGTATCGATATTATGTGTGTGATATATATTGTGGGGGCTTGTGTGGGGGTTTAAACTGATGCACGTGTACGAGATTGTACGATAGTTACGACCAAGTGGTTCCTCCCAGCTAAATATTCAGTAGCTAAAATATCTGCCCAAAAACCTCTTATATATTTGAAGATATGGCTTAATAAACATCGAGAACACATTAGAATGGAAGTTACTTTGGAGAGGGCTGCATCAATATAGAAGCTATTGGCAGGCTAGTATACGTTTTGCCGCCCTGCATGATGACGTCTGTAAATAAATCCTAGTTTCATAGATGCACCGATGTTATACAAAATTACCGAAGTATTTAAACCTTGAAATAGTCCATTTTAAAGTCCTAAATGATTTTTTCACCCAACGTCTTGGTAAAATAATAATAATAACTGTGACTGGAAAATGATATATGGTGCGTTGTTGTCAATCAGTAAAATTCCCCTTCATTCATTTAGTTTTATGATCGCTTATTCTTTAAACCTGGACCATTTAACTTCGGGCTCATTTTCTCGAAAATCTTGGTTTCCACTTTTAGAGGATAACTACTTGTTTCTTCACCTATGAAAGTTTGTTTTACTGATTGTTTCCTTAATCATAACTTGATGTTATCCTTTCTTTGATTCTGTCAAAAAAACGTTAGCATTGGGAATTCAGTGACGGTTCACCTCCACCAGAGAATATCCTCGCAGAATGGTTTAATCTCCTCAGAAACCGATTTTACGGAGAAAATAACCACCTTCATGCCGATCAAAACCACGCAATGCCCGGACCCATCGCTGTTCATTGTATAGCTGGGTATGGAAGGTGAGTTTCTTAATCTTCCTCATTTTACTATTTATTCATTTAGACACTAATATTGGTAAAAAGAAACACCTAAATATGTGTGCGCCGCACAAGTTATTAAATTTTTGAGTGGGTTGGGATATTGGCCGGCTACTCAAAACTAAGCAGGTAGCTTTCTTAGAGGGCCATTCCCTCTTACATTCATTCAGCTTGTCAGCCTATGTTTTTCTCAACTTAACAGAAGTAAAAATTTATCGGTTTAAATGCAACATTTTTAAATTCACCAGCATGCTTTATTTCGGTCTTCGTAAAATAACTCAATAATTATTGACTTGTATCTGTAAAATCTGTTGTCAAAGTTTCTGGACATCATTTTTGGCTCGAATATTCTGTTTTTTTGGTATATTTCTTGTTTATTATTGGTCAGTTAAATAGTTTCAATCCACAGCTTGTTGTTAATGTTATTTATTCAACCGTTGATATGATTTGTGACAACGGCATTTAATCTAATCACACTTTAAACCCGAATACAAAAGCTTTTTTACCTTAAATCTGAACTACATCTTGCAAAGATTTTTTCTGGTATAAATCCCTAAAAAATTCAAATCGCATTGCATCTGCGATATTATGAACGGTTCGTAACCATGTCACATGAAGTCTCCAACCGCTGATTTTGATTGCCGTGTTAACTCAAACGGGAAAGTCTACATCTACCAGCATAGCTCACAACAACAGTTGGTCACTATAAATCGATTCTACGTTAAATTGGACATTCTGATTTTCTTCCAACTTACTTCTGTACTAGCACACACTAGTCATCAAGGTAGTTGATGAGTAGACATACATAATGCACACCTTAACCACCCCTTTCGATGGTCACCTTTACAGAATACCATCGATCATTCAGTCAGTTACAACGTAGAACTTCGTACGTACGTACATCAGTTCAGGTCGCTATACTACATAGGCACAGAGACGCAATCTTTATTTCAAATCACATAGTAATGATGGTAGTAGAAGTACTGGCAGTAATCGGAAAGATTAGGGTTCGAGGATATTATTCAGGAAGTATAGTCTAGTGAATTAAACGTAAACAGAAGAAGATAAAGTTAATACGGAACTCCGAAGGTTAAAATTTGAGAGAACACAATGAATGAATGCACTTGCGCCATTGCAAACGATTTCCAGCCATGTCGTTCAGAGTCCCTAACCATCGATTATTATCATCTCGCGATCCTCAACCAGATAGTCGACACCTACCAACATGACTCGGTCCAGTAGTCAGTGACTTCATAAATTTGTGATATGTTTTGGTTTGACCGCTTCTAGGTTTCTTCTAACCTACTCCTACACCATAAAACATTGCTCCTCGAGGCAGTCAGTGGTTGGGCATTCGTAACACATGTCCCAACCACCTCAACTGATGAAGTTTCATTACTTCATCTATTGATCTGCCATCCTTACCTAGCACCCGTTTACTAACAACATCATTGCTTATTTGTCTGTCACAGAATACACGAGCAATGCTTTGGAGACACCTATGATTGAAAACTAGCAACCTACGAATATCCTCTACTCTATATAGTAGGACGGAGCGAACTATTCCGTAGTAAACTCGTCCTTTGGTTAGCAGACGGATATCTCGCCTACGCCATAAGTGACTCAAGTTGTCAAAAGCCAATCGAGCATTCTGTATCCGATCTGAGATTTCGTCAGTCACCAGGCCATCAGCACTGACGAGACTCCCCATATAAGTGAAGCGGCCAACACGGTCGGCTACTTCACTTCAAAGTCAACAAATGAATCTCTTGGTAGAATTTCCACCCCTGAAAATTCAGACGAAGATAATGTTAGCTCTAAAAGTATGTCAACGACAAATTTAAACAAGAATGGAGAGAGTGGACATCCCTGGCAAACACCACTTGAAGTAATCAATTCCGTTGACAGTTCACCATAAGCTCTAACTGGACCTGTAGTTTTCGAGTAGAGAGCTTGTACAGGGTTAATTTACTTTTTTGATGCACCTTTTAGTGACAGGCACTATCCTCGAACCTCAGAATTTAAGTCAGAGTGTCGATTTAGTAGCTTAGTTCGCAAACGTATCATAATTCTGGCATCGCTTCCTACTACATTCTTCACAAAGTGTGACGCACTTCATCTACTGAAATGGGTCTTTCTTGTGTATTATTATAACTGAGCCTTATCTTATTTTATACTGGCCCTGCTCATTTATGGACAAATTGTGTTACTCCCGTTTCATTGTTTTTAGTATTACCACTTCATTTTTAAGGCTCATTTTTAGCCTTTTTAACTAGAATTTGCGCAATATATAATAAACATCAGAATTTATGGTGAAATGTAATCGGAATTGCGAAAATTGAGTGGTATTCGTCAGAATTACGCGCTGTGTCCATTTTTCTTTATTTTCTTTTTAGACTTTCGATTATAACGAATAATGTCCTTGATTTTCTAGTGGTTCATCTGTCCGGAGATTTATTTATCTTGGAGTACTCAGATAATGTTTCTATGCACTTGGGACTCTGACAAAATTTTGAGTCTTCTGAGCTTTTGGATAACAATACAACCATTGTTAGCATAAGTTTCTCAACCTTTAGCTTTAAAATGTTTCTTTGTGACTGGCTTGTGTTAACTGCTAACTGTACGATTTAGAATGAAGTAGTTAAACGCGTTAACCAGCCATAGTGAGTAGGTATTACATCAAGTCTCGTAATGGATTCTAAAAAGTCAGCTAATTTTTACTGATTTATGTCACTTATAGTTCGAGTCGGGTGTCCATCTATCAATCAGAAAAGAGGTGTACTGAACAGCAGTTTATCTTTTATTTTTGTATAGCTGAACATTTTAATCTAACCAATTCATTTATAACAAAATTTGCGTTGATGATGACTGACTTATGTGCTCTCGCCTTACGAAAATGCTCATCCCGATCTCAGCACTCTCTCTCTCTCTTTAGGAAGCGAGTACTAGGTAAGGATGGCATATCAATAGACGAAGTTTTGAAACTTCAGTTGAGGTGGTTGGGACATGTTTTACGTATGCTTAACCACCGACTGCTTCGACGAGCAATGTTTTGTGGTGTAGGAGTAGGTTGGAAGAAAGCTAGGGGCGGCCAGACCAAAACATGCCAGAAATCGATGAAGTCACTGACTAGTGGACTGAGTCATGTTGGTAGGTGTCGACCACCTGGTTGTTGTCCGCGAGACCATTGTGACAGTACTCCCACTATCTTTACTACTATGGGATTTAAATTGACAATTACATCTCTGTGCTGATGTGGTATGGCAACATGAACTGATGTACTTACGTTCGAAGTTCCACTTTGCATCTAACTGACTCTCTGTGGTTTACAAACATCTAGCTTTCCAAGCTATATAATCTAAACGGGCAATGAATGTGGACTTCTGTTTGTCAGTCGAGGAAAGCTTTAAATAACTAGTTAGTTAGGTTTATAGTACCAAACAATCTTCCTTGTTTTTATTTGATAATTTTTGAATTGTTAAAGGTTTTTTACTTGACTGCTATAAATTTGTAATCGTTTTTGTCACATTTTCAGCGAACACTGCCATCGATATTTCTCATTTCATATTCATACCTAGTAACCTCATACTGTATATTTAATGAGGGATTTAACCTGTCTTTCTGTATATATATATATATATATATATATATATATATATATATAGCCTCAAGTAAAGTAATTGTTTACTAAATTCTCGCTTGACCTTAACCTAGTCAAGATTTAATTTTTCGTCCCCCGTTAAATACTTATCTTGAATTGACGTTGGTAGCTGAACACAGTTTATAGATATGTGGATTAAGTATTTATAACATCGATCCTTCCTAACTATATTTTGTGTGTCTGTGTGTGTACTGATTTAAACGCACACGTTTCCGGTCATTCTAATGCAATACTGTAATACATTTGCCACAGATATATTTCTCTCTAATATCACACCCCTTCACACAAATATGCACATGTATATTACATTTATTGATTTGTTAACCATTCCAATGCTCTTGATAAATAATTTAATTATCATTGACAATTCAACAAAGATATTCTACTACTACCTGATGACTGATTTCTTTGTATTTTGTTATTATATGTGGCTTATAAATATTAACAAATCAATCCCAGTTTTATAAACTTCGTTAATCGAAGCGAACTTATTTTTTTTTATGGAAGGCAAGTGTCCTCGGTGTCTGTTACCGAACCCCGTCAATGAAAATGCGCCTTCACCATAGTTTCTATTTCTTGTAGTTATTGTGTATTACAATAGCTAACACGTCAGTTTTGTGGATGTGTACATCATTTCATCCTGTTTACAAATAAATATGACTCATTTCATGCTGTTAAGAAGTGTTTTATCATGTCTTTTTTTAACACCATTAGTGTCATTGTAAAGTTTCACGAAGAACTTAGATTTTCTGTTCCTTTACTTTTCTGCCTACCTCTTCCAAGGGAAGTCGTTCTTTTATTTGTTTCCTTGGTTAAAAAAGCAAGATTTATGTTTCTTATCTAGATCCTTATTGAAAAACAATTGTTCTAGTGACTGATATATATATATATATATATATATATATATATATATATATATACCTGTTATCAAAGAGTTTCATATCAAGATTAAACAGATCTCTGGTTTTCAAAAGTTCACTAAGGTCAATCAGTGATGTAAAAAACCATAAAATTGCTCAATCTCCACAAGCCCACCATTTTAACAGAGTTATTGATTCTTTGTCTAAGCTATACCAATAGTTGCAGACTACCCAGTTGGTATCCTCATGATAACCTCGACCAGTGGTTTGAGACATTGAATGACATGACTTAGAATCAATCACAGTTCCACAAATCCAATTATTCATTTTTATCTCGATCTTAAGTTATAGTATTCCTTCATACACATAACTGTTCATTGTGTTTTCGTAGACATTTTTTCTCCAATGGTACTACAGTATGTCAACTTGTTTACAATTTATCCCACTCATTTTATTTTGTCGTGTTAATCTGATATAACAACATGGGCTAACTCTCATTTCCGCCCCACCCCCAATACTCTACGTTAATTCTAACGGATTGATTGACCATTACCTTGTTTAAAAATAATCATCTTCATTACGAGATAAATATCAATTGTCCTCGTAAACTTATGAACCATCGATTCTCTAGAATAATAACATTTATATTTATTTTATATCTTACCATTGCTTGGTAACAACTAATTTACAGTGTATATTATTGATTCACCTATTTGGGATGTTTTAAATCACGTGGTCCATTCCGTACATATGCGATACTGTATTGTATAAGTTGACATTTCTATGACTATCTCTAGCTCCTATATAATAAAGAGAGCGCTTGGTGAACTATCTCTATCAGTCATTCATTCTTTCAACCATATACTTTGTCTTTCTTTTTGCTTATTTCCAAATGCTCCTAACTTTGTTAGTTAACCTTTGTAAATAAAAGTTTGAAATACACTTTATTATTTATTTTTTTGGCTTCCTGAATCGAATCAAGATTATATCGAAAGAATTTTAGAATTATTTAAGTAACAAATGGTTGTCTCAACTTACCATTATGAATAATTTTTCAAGACCAACGATCATAGTTTTCAAAGGGATTGAATTTTTCAAATTATTGATAGTTTTTTATTCAGTAGACCCTAGTTAAAACTATATAAACTACTTTTTTATTTTGTTTACTTTCTTTTTCATTGAAATATTTGTAGGGCTCCAGTTCTGGTAGCTGTTGCATTAATGGAACTTGGCATGTCCAGTGAAGATGCAATTGAATTGATTCGCAGGTACTTCTTTATTATGATTATTATTTGTAACCACGAATCGATCAATGTTAGACCACCATTAGAAACCTGGAAGCACTGAAAGACGGCCGTTTCGTCCTGGTATGAGACTCCTCAGTAGTGCGCATCCACGACTCCTGCATCCCGCAGGATTCGAACCCAGGACCTTCGGTATTGTGCGCGAACGCCCTAACCGTTAGACCACTGAGCCGGTATTTAACGGTGTTAATGTCTAAGTTGATCAAATTCACGGGGTTGCGCAACCTCATACCCTGTATACATCCGGACAGGTTTGAACTTCACTGGTCACGTCTTCACACTAGAACTCGGTGAAGATTCCTCACCAAGCTAGTCACTAGTGAACACATGTAATTGCATTGCGGGATTGTTGTGAAGATTTTTAAGTTTTATTTTTAACCATGAATCAATCAATGTTAGACCACCATTAGAAACCTTGAAGCACTGGACGGCCGTTTCGTCCTGGTATGGGACTCATCATTATTAATGAATATTAGTTAATAGTTTCAACAACAACAACAAAAAAATATTCATATTTTCATGAAAAATATAATTAGACGACTTTTCATATTTAAAATATAATAATCCTATATTTTCATGTATAAAAATTGAAAACATTGTTAAATTAAACTTTGTAATAAGAGTTTAATTGTTTGTTTTTTTTAATTATAATTTAACTTGTCTCAGATAGTAGTGTAGTGACCATGATAAAACTCCATTTATAATAATGTGTATACTATTTATCTATCTGTTTTCTACACTTGGAATTATGCTAACTTTCTTTGTTTGGCACACACGCACACACACACACACAAACTACTGTTTATATTTATTTATTTAATTCATAATAAAATAAATATTAACATTTTAGGTATATATTAGAGATTGATGATGATGTGAAATGTATTGACAGTATATATTGTATTGTATTGTATTGTGTAAATAAAATGTATCCTATTTTAAATAACGAAAAGTATTTATAATAATAATAATAATAATAATTTAGAACTAATGTTGTTTAAATTTCGAAACTGATCATCAGTCAATTATTAGATTTGCAACCAGAGAAAGGAGACCAATTCATGCTTGACAATGATTAAAGTTTGAAAAAAAACAATGTTATACTGGTCAACTAATCAAATTCTGACATTACATTGTAGTGCAATTGTAGTAAATCAGTAATTGTCCCGCTTTCCACTTGCGATTTCGTTTTAAGCAATGAATATTTTATTTGTCAGTTTTATACATTAGATGAAGTGGTGAAACTTCATCAGTTGTGGTGGTTGTGACATGTGGTACGAATGCCTAACCACCGATTGCCTCGACGAACTATGTTTTGTGGTGTAGGAGTAGGTTGGAAGAAAGCTAGGGGCGGCCAGACGAAAAAATGGCAGGAATCGGTGAAGTCACTGACTAATGGACTGAGTCATGTTGGTAGATGTAGACTACCTGGTTGGGGTCTGCGACTTGAAAGTCACCAATGGTTAGAGACCTTGAATGACATGGCTCAGAATCGTTCGCAGTGGTGCAAGTGCATCCACTCGTTTTGCTCTCTCAAATCCTAATCTTCTGGATTGGTCAGCACCCCTACCTTTTTCTTTCTAACCTTTCACTGAATTATACTTCTTGAATAACATATTCGAGCCCTAGTCTTCTTCATTACCATTAATACCTCTACTATCTTTATCACTATGGTATTTGATTTAACATTTACGTCTCTGTGCTAATGTGATATGGCAACCTGAACTTATGTACATACGTAAGAAGTTCTACGTTGCAACTAACTAACTAACTATACATTAGTAACACCCTTCCACTGTGTATGCAACCGGAAAGTGACAACTGCCCCTCATAACCGTAACAGCATTGTGTTTAAGCGTAAGTGACTTTTCCACCATTAGTTAGTAGTTATGTGAAGTTTTTTCGTTGATAATTCAATCCATTACAATTGCAGTTTTACACAAATCGTTTGTAACGTATTTTCTTGTAGAATATCTATCTCTCAAATTTTTACTTGTCTTATTAATGACAAAATTTCATTGAAGTTGAAACTATCAATTGTTGTTTAAATTGTAAACTTATCATCAAATTAACTAACATAAAAGAATTAAGTGATTCTCCAAGTTGTGTATGTGTTGAAAAAAAAAAAAGGACTAACAAAATTATTCACGAGATTTTTTTTTTCTTCAACCTGTCAATTAATTATATAAACACTACTGTCATACACCATCTAATTTTTTTCCATAATGTTCGTCCAACCTAAAAAAAAACATCAAATGATTTCGTAAATAAATTAAGGTTGTGTGTAATAGTTTTTTGTTTTTTTTTTGTTCTAAGGTAGAAAACTTTTAGTATCAAATGTTTAAATCATGTGATCATCAATTTCCAAACTGTGACCTTTCTTTTTCTATACAAGTAGAGATATTTTTATAATTAATATTTTTTTGAAAAAATGAAAACTTATTTTCTCTAAAAAAATATTTTTTTAATAATATGAATAAAAGTATATGACAATGAAATCAAAGTGTAGTAGTAGTAGTCAACCTCTATGTGTAAGATAGATTTAAAATGAGACTTATGTTTATGCGCTTAACTCTAGAATTTCAAATCGGCTTGCGTGTCTGGTATATGAACTTTTAATCCTAATTATTCGGGAGTGTTAGATTGGATTTTCAGTTTCGTTTGCGCATTTATTACATCACATAAACTTGATGTATTTAAAATGAATTCTTGCTTTAATAGTTTTCACTAAGTGTATGTATATATATACATCGCTTCACTTGGAAGTCTCATCAGCGCTGATGGCCTAGTAGTAACTGACGAAATCTCAGTACGGATGCAGAAAGCTTGATTTAGATTTTGGCAACTTGAATCACTTATGGTGTAGGCGAGATGTCCATCTGCAAAACCAAAGGATGAATTTATTGCGGAATAGTTCGCTTCGGCCTACTATATGGCTGCGAAACATGGCCGGTGAGAGTAGAGGATATTCGTAGATTGCTGGTTTTCAATCATAGGTATCTCCGAAGCATTGCACGTGTATTCTGCAACAGCCGAATAAGCAATGATGTTGTTAGTAAACGAGTGCTGAGTAAGGATGGCAGATCAATAGATGAAGTAATGAAACTTCATCAGTTGAGGTGGTTGGGACATGTGTTACGAATGCCCAACCACTGACTGCCTCGAGGAGCAATGTTTTGTGGTGTAGGAGTAGGTTAGAAGAAACTTAGGAGCGGTCAAACCAAAATATGTCACTAATGTGTGAAGTCACTGACTAGTGGACTGAGTCGTGTTGGTAGGTGTCGACTATCTGGTTGGGGTCCGCGAGATGATAGTAGCGTATGGTTAGAGTTCTTAAACTACATGGCTCAAAATCAGTTGCAATGGCACAAGTGCATCCATTCTTTGCGTTCTCTCAAATTCTAACCTTCTGAATTCGTCATCATCTTTACGTTTGTCTTTCTAAACTTATCTCACTGAATTACACCTCTTGAATAAAATCTTCTAATCCTATCCTCTCCGATTACTTCTAATACCTTTACTACCTCTACTACTATTGGATTTGAATTGTCAATTGCGTCTCTATGCTATAATGCGGTATGGCAACCTGAACTAATGTACGTACGTACGTACGAAGTCCTACATTGTAACTGACTAACTGACTGATATATATATATATATATATTTATAATTATTGATATATCATTTGATTTAAACTTATTTTATTTTATTTAATATTCAAATGTATTTGTTTTATTTTCATTGAATCTCTTTTTTTGCCCTAGTAAACGTAAAGGTGCGTTTAATGATCGTCAAATTCATTATCTTACTAATTATCATGCACATTCTCGTCTACGTCGTCATAATCATCGTTGCTTAATTATGTAATTTTATTTCATCCACTCATTCATTCATTGATTCATTCATTCAAAGCGTATATATGATATAACTAACCAATTATATACGGTGATAACAACACATTACCAATGTATTTCTTTGCATACTAATGATATGATTTATTTTTGTTTTTGATTATTTTATTTCTTCGAGAGAGCTATTACTACTACTACTAGTAGTAGTAGTAGTACTACTTATTCACTACTTCCTCTTTTATTGTGTGTGTATATGTGTGTGTGCGTATGTGTGTACGTGTACGTGTACGTGAACCTATTGACTTTCATTCAGCTATAAGAAAAACAACAACGTAATATCTTCTCATGAGTACCTACATATATATATGTGTGTATAATTTTAATCATGAATTATTTTATAACTGTTTGGTTTTTTAGTACCGATTAAATGAGAAAAAACAAAACTCTATCAATATTCTTTAGTTATTATATAAGTGATTATTGTGTTTTCTTGAAAAAAAAAATTTTCTTTTTGTCCAACATATTTGTTCACAGTTGTTGTTAATTTCACTGACTTCCTAATGTCATCATTATCTCTATAAAAATAGTATTGTTGTTTTTTGATTTAAAATGAATCTTACCATACTTTTACGTTGTTGATATGTGTTTGTTCATGAATTAATTGACTCAATATTCATATATATGTATATGAACTTGATTTCGTTTAGCTTATTAATGATTTAGCTATTGTTCTTATCGACTTCCTGTATAATGTTGTTCTATCCACACATGTGGTGCCTCCTTCATTCAAAAATCAATCGTTTATCCTTTTTTGCAATAGACTTTATTTCATATTACACGTTTTTTCATAGTTAGATACCGGATTCTTCTCTTTCTCTCTCCCTCTCCGTGTTTCTCTCATCCTGTCTATGTGTTTCTATGCGCGTGTGTGTGTGTGTGCTTTGAATGCCTAAATGTTTGAATTGTATTCTTTCATTGGTTTTTTTTGAATACTCTTCTTCTCCATTAGGTTGTTCATATGTGAATGTATATCATCGTCGTCACCATCATCATCATCATCTATTTTCTAGTGGCTTTTACACTTACTACTAGTCAATTAATTTTGAGAAATAAGTATTATAGCAATAATTGTATTGATTCGTTTCTGCTCTTTTCCTCTTGTTTCTTTTATATGCGTAGAGATTGTGTAACATTGTGCCTTTTTTTTGAATATTTGTTTACTGTTTGCTGTGTTTATTTGTTATCTGTTGTTGTTGTTGTTGTCCCAGTAATTTTCTTTATTCAATCAATCAATCAATCCCACACATTATAAATCTCTAAATATACACATTCTTCTATATTACTGGATTTTTTTTGTGCATTTCTGTATATGTACATGTATAATATGTATGATGAATGTGTTTTTCTGTAAAAATGATTATCTGTAAATTGTTGTATCATTTATCATTGATAATGTTATTATTATTAATTCACAGTGATCCCCATGAAATTGAAGCTGTTTTTTTTTCTTTTCAAATTCCCTCATTATGTGTTTTGGTCTACAAAGAAGAAAAGAAGTGTGTTTGTATTTTCTCTTTCATGTTTCTTTTTTTTTACTTTTTTTGTTTGCTTCTCTAATAAGAATAATTCTGATCTGTCTGGATTGTATTAGAATTTATTTGGTCATATATATATGCATGCACATGATAGGTCTGTGTGTGTTTCTTCTTCTGCTACATTAAAAATATAACTAGTACATATTTTAATCTGATAGAATTTTACAGTTGAATAAATTGCTGTTTTTGTTTGGTCTATCTAATAATTATTGATTTGTGTTATTAATTTTTTGCTTTTAACTATAATTGTTTGTGTAATTTTTTTGTTTGTTTGTGCTTGAATTCTCTTTGAGTAAAAAAAAAATTATGTTGATGAAGAACATACAAGTATTTGTTGTTTGTTGTAGACTAGTATGTTTTTGAATTAACACGATAAATTGACCGGGGTTGTTCGAGTTATATTTTCTGTGGATTAGCAATTTGAATCGTTATAACATCTAACTAACCGTTTCAAACACTTGTTCGGTATTTTTTTTGCAACTATACTTCTATTTTAGTAAGTGCATTAGTATCATTTAGCGTTTACAGAAAATAAATGATTCACTTATGGATCTTGTCAATCAAAGTTGTTTAGAATCTGGCACAAATCGTGATCAATTTAAGTTTTGTAAACTTTACATCAACATGGTGAGAGAGGATTTGCATCCTTAAATGGGATACTTTTGGATATAGTATTCTGTGAGCCGGGTGATTTAGTTGAGATACCTTCATTTTCATTATGGACAACATCTTCAGTGTTTACTTCGTGTAGAAGTGATTGTTTTGGTTATTCAACAAATGCTGTTGTTGTCTTAGATAGATAGATATAACACAGAACTTCGTACCTACCTACATCAGTTCAGGTTGGCATACCGCATAAGCATAGAGACGCAACTGTAAGTTTAAATCCAGGAGTGATAACGCTAGCAGAAGTATTAGCAGTAATGGAGAAGATTAGGATTCGAAGATTTGATTCAAGAAGTATAATTCAGTGAGATAAATATAGAAAGAGAAAAATAGAGATGATGAGGAATTCAGAAGGTTAGAATTTCATAGAACACAAAGAGTGGATGCACTTACACCATTGCGAATGATTTTGAGCCATGTCATTTAAGGTCTCTAACCATCGGTTAATTTCGTCACGCAGACCCCAACCAGGTAGCCTACATCTACAAACATAACTCAGTCCACTTGTCAGTGACTTCATGGGTTTGTGTCATGTTTTGGTTTGGTAGCCCCTAGCTTTCCTCCAACCTACTCCTACACAACAAAACATCGGTCGTCTTAGTCTATGTATAATATGGTGTAGAGGAATTCGTTTCAAAGTATTCGGTTGATTTCAACTGTTAACAAATTAATTACACATTTTTGAAACCATGAATCGATCAATGTTAGACCACCATTAGAAACCTGGGAGCACTGGACGGCCGTTTCGTCCTGGTATGGGACTCCTCGGCAGTGCGCATCCACGACACCTGCACCCCGCAGGATTCAAACCCAGGACCTTCGGTATTGTGCGCGAACGCCCTAACCGTTAGACCACTGAGCCGGTATCTAACGGTGTTAATGTCTAACTTGATCAAATTCACGGGGTTGCGCAACCTCATACACAGTCTTCGGTAGACACTGCCTACAACCGAACAGTTTGAACTTCACTGGTCACGTCTTCACACTAGAACTCGGAGAAGATTCCTCACGAAGCTAGTCACTAGTGAGCACAGGTAATTTGCATTACGGGGTTGTGAAGATTGTTAAGTTACACATTTTTTTTGAAACCATGAATCGATCAATGTTAGACCACCATTAGAAATGTATAACTTAACAATCTTCACAACCCCGTAAAACAAATTAATTGACGGTATTTTTGGTTGGTTAGGTACATAACTTCAAAATAATAATATGCAAATATTTAACAAATGTGAATTGTGTTTATACGTATGTTCTTTCTGTTTTGCATGTTAAACTTACTAGGAAGTATATAGAATTCAACCATTCACTTATATGCATATGTGCTATATATATATAGATTAACTATAATACAAATCAAATATTCACAAATGAGATAAAATTTAACGTGTGATTAGAAAGCAGCTGATACCATCCAGAAAAAAAAAGTGTATACATGTTTTTTTAGATTGAAAGAACATGAAGTGGACATTTATTCTTGATTAACTAATGGAATTTATGTCACCTGGAAAAAATGTTATTGGACAAAAATTATTTGAAGGAAGGTATGTGGTTATCAGGAAAATATGTTAATTTTTGTAATCAGTAGATTGACTAGACTTCTTGTGTTGGAAATTATTAGCGAACAGATTACTTAAAATAAATAAATAAACATTACAATATTAGTTCTGAATCATTTATAATAATGTTGATAGTAATAGTAGTTCAATGTAGTATGAAGATTTTAAGAAGGCTATAATACTTGGAATCAGTCAGTTACAACATGGGACTTCGTGCCTACGTACATCAGTTGAAGTTGCCATACCACATAAGCACAAAGAGTCAATTGAAATCTCTTAGTAGTAAGAGTATTTATTAGCAGTAATCAATGATCAAACATATCATTCGAGATGTATGCACCAAAGCAACCGATTAAAAAACGCTCATGAGGAATTCAGAAGGTTAGAATTTGTACCTGTGCCATTGCAAACGGTTTTGAGCCATGTCGTTCAACGTCCCTAACCATCGATTACTATCATCTTGCGGACCCCAACCAGGTAGTCTACATTTACCAACATGACTCAGTCAAGTTGTCAGTGACTTCATGGATTTGTGACGTTTTTTGGTTTGGCCGTTCATAGGTTTCTTCCAACTTACTCCTACATCACAAAACATCGCTCGTCGAGGCAGTCAGTGGTTCAACATTCGCAATAAATGTAGTGTATCAAACGATTTCTTGAATAAGTTCCTTCAGAATGCTTCTTTTGAACGCAGCCATATTGTACTGTAGTGGTTAGATTAAAAACCAAGTGAAAAATATCGAGAGAAATTCTTCCGACAGCTTTTATCCGGTACTTTCACTAACAAATACTGAAAAATATCAAAATGAGCCATTACTTCTAAAATATTTGTTAACTGAGATACAGCATTATCATATTTTCATGCAGCTAGTTTAATCGTCTTATACTCGTTGCATATAAGTATGCAGTTCATACGATATAAAAGATGAGTTTTGCAGAAACCTCTCTAAACTTCTTCAAAACGTCAAGCTCTCTGATATAGTAATAATGGCTGGTGACTTAAATGCTCAAGTAGGTAGATGATTAGGTGAAAAGGAAAGACACCTGGGTGGGTCTTATGGTGTCACGGCCGATCGAACATATAACGGAAACCGTCTGTTGCAACTATGCTCAGATAACCACCGCCAGTCTTTCGGGATTACAGCCACCCAATTCTTGTCATCGTCCTGCCAGGTCAGGACTCCATATGCATTCACTCTCAGTCGTTCCTTTTGCCGAAGTAAC